ATCTTGTTCTTTTTCTTCAAACAAATTCAATTGGATATAGATGGCTAATTCCAGAAGACGTCACCTTCAAAATTAAGGATAAAAAAGAAAAGATTGACTCTGTTCTGAAAGCGAGAGAATTTTTAAGAGTCCAGCTGGGAGGGCCAGAGGAGGAAGAAAAAGAAGGGGACAGCAAGTCCAGTGGTGAGCTGGACTCGGGTTCTTCCGATGCTTTGGGGTATTTCCTGATATCAGTTAAATTTAAGATGTGGGAAAAGTTAACAGACTATGTGACTCAGTTTGTAATGAGATTAATATGATTAAGACTAGATGTGTATTTAAACTGATTAGAAGATCTCCTCTCTTGGGTTTTTAGTCAGTAGTGGGTATCTTTTCTTTATCCCCTTAAATGTAGTCCCCTTCCTTATTTCTGTTATAGTTTGTAGTTTTAATAAAAATGCAATAAAAAATTCCCCATTGGGGAGCAAAAAAACCCCAAACAGCAGCCATTCCACAAGCAAAAAAACCCCAAACAGCAGCCATTCCACAAAAGCCAGTATGGTGTAGTTGGCAGTTTTAGACTAGGGCTTGGGAGACCCAGGTTCAAATCTCCACTCTTCTAATGTGCTCACTTAGTGACCTTAGGCCAGTTAAACATTCTCAATGCAACCTTACCTCACAGTGTTGTTGTGAAGGTGAAATGGGGGAGAGAAGAATGAGATAATTCACTTTGGGTCCCCATTGTGGAGAAAGGCAGGGTATAAATGAAGTAAATAAATAATAAATATAGCTGAACATAGGGGGGCAAGATAAAAGGTTGGTTGGTGCATGGGAAACAGAGAAAGTTGAGGGTGTGGAGCCTGCCAGAAATAGGAAAAGAGGAAATAGTATGAGCAGGGGATACAGAGGAGTCGTTGCAAGTTCTCCACCACACAATGGGGCCAGGTCCAGCCCAGTACTCAGAACTGTGCAGAATTTTCCCAGGGGGAAGCTTGCTGGAGGAAAAGCTGAAGACAGGGGGCAGATAAACATAGGCTGGCAGGTAGATGGAAAAGAGAGAAGGTAAGCAGGAAAAGGAGAGAGAGTGGGGGACTTTCAGGGAGGGGAAAGAGGAAATAGTGAGGTGAAGGGAAAATGAGATGCCCTCACAAGTCCTTGCAGGTCTCTCATGTTTTAAAGTCGCTTCCATTCCTCTTTAGGAATTACTTCCTACTTACTTTGCAAAGCCCATGCATTCCTGAGTAGATCCTTAACCAGTTCTCGTTCTGTGGGTGGAATGTTTTAGTTTACAGCTTTTCTCCCTGCAGATCATAATCATGCACTCGCAAATCTATGATAATGCAAAAGAAAAGAACATCAATGAGGAATCACTTTGGCTGCCAAGAGAAAAGCAGTAATTACAGCTAATTAAGGATCCATTCAGGAATGCTGTGGCCAACCTGAGATAGTAGGAAGCAATCAAAGAGAAGCAAACATAGTCACAATTTGAAAGAAAAGGGGGAAAGTGATACTTAAAGAATCTATTGTAGGGAGAAGCTAACACATAGTAGGCCGTTGCTCATGAGGGCTATTTTTATATGGGGAATACAGCATTATATTAAATGCAGTGCACAATCCCAGACTCAGTTCTGCTGGCTGCTAATTACAGAAAGCCATCCTTCAGTGGCTATTAAAAAAACCTCAGCATGGAACCAGTCCAGGCCTTCAAGGACCTTCAGTCCTTACTATTTCACTTTTGTTCATTTCTCCCCTCTTCTTTAATGTTTCAAAACTAATTGTGAGGCAAAGCACCCCTAGCCTCCCCTCAAGGGTTAATGTGAACAGTAATGGCCATCCATCTTACAGGTGTTACTAATTGGCCTCTTAGCCTACACGCTCTTGTCATCTTCAAGGCCAGGGATGGAACTCTGGTGATTAGCTTCTCTTGAGAACCTGTGGTCTGTGTGATGGGAGGGGAGAGCCAGGGGTGATGAGGTAATCTTCTAGAGGCTTCTCCTGAAAACACATCCTGATTGGCTGTCATCCTCAACTGGTGTTGCTGGGCCCAAAAAGCTATAACTGAGCTAAGGCCCTGAAGAAGAGGACTAGTTGAGTTTTTGACAGACTAAAGGCCTGAACTATGACCTGCTTGAATTGCAAGCAACAGTCGAGAATGCTTCAGCTCTGGCCTTTGGCTCTTGATTTTAAGGTTTGTGCCATCTAACGTAAATTCTAAAAAGTGTTAGTCAGGCTAGCTTTTTCCTGCTGCATGACTTTAGAGTAATGTGTTGGCTATAGAATAAACTTTTGTATTGCCAGAAATTGAAATAAACTTTATTTTAAAAAATTTTCTTAATTAAACTGTCTGGTTACTTGTGTACATCTGCCCTGGGAACCCACATAGGTTCAGCCTGGAACTCCTTGACAGCCATCACAATATCGATTAATCTCTTTTTATTTTGTTACATCTGATTGCAGATTATCTTAGTTTAGCCACATGTGTGCAGCTGTACTCCTAGTTGCTGTGGAGATGATGAAATGCTGATAAAACTTTTCTTTTCAGCTGTTGGTGGCAAATAAAATAGCCCGTGCCATCGCAGACAACCACTGGAACCGCTATCGAGCTGGCCCTTCAGCAAAAACAATATGTACGTACCTGCAGAGTATGGTAAGAATGCAAGATGTGTTTATGAATAGGCCATGGACAAGGGGCTAAAGATATGGTTTTGGCTAATGAATGTTTCTGATTTCCCCCCATAGATTTAGCCCCAGGAGGATCAGATGACTGGGCATATGACCTTGGGATTAAGTACTCTTTCACTTTTGAACTTCAGGACAAAGGGAGATACGGATTCTTGCTTCCTCAGAGACTCATTAAACCAACTTGTTCCGAAGCACTCACGGGGATCAAAATAATAGCTTCCCATATTTCCGACAATCTGTGAGCCCCCCGAGTTCCATTTCACAGGACAGCAGCTGGAGAGCCTGGTTGGAGGTGCTTGGTATTTTAATGTCAATAAAAGCAAAATTTATTTTTGTGCCCTTCTCTGTCTTTTATTACAAGGCTAATTAGTAGGGCTGGTACTTTGTAATTCGGATAAATTGTCAGGGCAGCTTTATAACCAACTCTGAAATGCAGATTGTCAGATTTCTCCATCCCTTGAAAATATCTATCCCGCCTTTCCATAAAGCTCAAGACAGCATAAGACTCACTAAGACAATAACATCACACCAATATCATTAAAAAGCAATACGTCATAGTATACGAGGCACTGAATTAGTATACGAGGGACTGAATTAGAGGCATCCAGCATAGATAGGCTTGCCAGGTCCACTTTGCTCGCTGGTGGGGGGTGGGGCGACGTCACCACATGCAACATCCCCAGCATGATGATGTCATGTGGAAGTGACATCATCACACCGGGGATGTTACGTGGCAACACTCTGGTATTTGGGGCAAAACTCTATGGTTACCATAGAGTTTTGCCCCAAATACCAGAGTGTCACCACATTGCATCCCTGGCATGATGATGTCATTTCCATGTGACACGATCATGCCAGGGATGTTGCACCACGTGGTGCCTGTTGGGGGTGGGGCTTCCCCCACTGGCTGGCGGCGGGCAGAAGCTCACCAAATCGGGTTCCCTCACTACCACCTGGAGGCTGGCAATCCTAAGCATAGAGAGCCAATATCAGTTTCTAGAAACCATAATTCGATATCAGTAAAAAGCCCTGTGAAGAAGCATGATTGCGCAGTTACTGAATGACACCGACAGAGGTGCCTTACACACTTCTACTGGCAGACGGTTCCACAAGGTAGGGCCAACCGTGGAGAAAGCTCATGAGCTAGCTGCAGAGGAGGAAGGGCAAACCATATATGATGACCTGATGGGTGTGCTGCACCTCACGAGGAGGACTAATTAGCAGGGAATTGATACCCCCGAGACTGTCATCCCAGGGAACCCCCCCCCTTTCCCTGTATATTGTGAATCTTCTTTTGTACACATGTAACACCTGAATGTGGGTCTTGAAATAATAGAAGGAACTTGAATTAAACTTATCAACAGGCACTGAGAGTCATGCCAAGGAGAGAAGGCACGCAGGGCATCTCCTCTGTCAGTAAATCCACCCTAAGAGGGATTCAACTGAGGGCCATTTCCTACAAGGATCTCAGAGCCACTTCCCAGGTAATTTGATCTAACTAACGGACAGATTTCCCAAACAATAAGCAATGGGCTGGTTCCAGCAATTTCCTTCCTATCTAAAGGACCAGATGGGAAGATCTCAGCGCTTCCCCAATCAGGACAAGTACTGAACCACAGATGTGAACAAATCTAATTTCCAAATCTCCCCAAGGGAATATTTTTGATATTCACCATGCAGAAGGGGGAAAACTCCCCTCCACAATATAGACAAAGGATTTTTAAAGGCTTGCTCATCCTCCAGAGATTGTGTTTTCATTACCACCACAGTCCAATGCCAACACCCCTTCCCCATCTCATCTCAGGAAAAAAGGGTATAAAAAGTTACACCCTTCCTTGTATCTGAAATGAGCAGTGATTCACGAAAGCTCATACCCTGCCACGTATTTTGTTAGTATTTAAGCTGCTACTGGACTCTTGCTCCCCCCCCCCCTAATTTTAGTAGTCAGTTTTGGACTCATCCTGTTATTCCTATCTCACGGTTGGCTCCACACACTTGCCCCTGCACCTCCTTCCCCTGTCTGGTCGACTTCACCTCCCATAGCAGCTTCTTTTCTAGGACAACCCCGTTTCCCCATTTCTTCTCAGACAAGCGCCTACATCTTACTGTCTTTTAATCGGCTTATTTCCCCTCACAATCACTTCTAGGGAAAGGTTTTTGTGCTGTCATACACTGTGTAACGTTTACTTGTTGCTACCGCTCTGCCTTACTATACAGATCAATTTGATTTCTCTTTCCATTTGTAAAATAAAAACCCTGTTTGTTTAAGAGTCTTTCCCCCCTCATTTTTCTGAGTGTTGATCTGAATCTGGATATACATAGGCTAATAATCTCAAGTTTGGGGGGCTTAGTTTTTGTTGTTGTCAGGTCACAGCTGACTTATTGAAACCCCCATGTGGTTTTCTAGGCAAGAGACGGTCCGTTTAGTCCGCTTTCGGCATGCTTCAGTAACGGATTTTATATCCACATTCACAAACCCAACACCTGCGCACTGTCCCCAGCTGTTGCTTTCTGGCTCAAACCCCCTTTAAAACAGTATTTTGTTACCAGGTCCCCAAGTGGTGTTTTCCTGATTCTCCAGTTCTAGCTGCACTTTTCTGACGTCTGATCGTTCCTGCGGTGTCGATCACTTCCGGTTTAAACCCCCTTCCCACTCGAAAGCTGCCCGAGGCTTCCACTTTTTGCCCGCCATTTTTTTAATACGTTGGCGGGGCGCGCATAGGCGGAGCTCCGCCACCGCGTTTAGAAAACCAACATTTAAACGGTCACTTGATTTAGCGTTTAGATGAGTTCGGGATCTCACGGAGGCCATTTTCAGGTCAAACATTTAAAGGGAAGTATTTTTTGGAGGGATTGGATTGATTCACCCTGGTGGTTCTGCGCATGCACCATGATAGTTCCCCCCCCCTTCTACGGAGGGGTGCCTATGTGCATGCACAAACTGAGGAAAAAAATTTAAACCCCGCCGACACACGCTCCCGCGTGTCAGTAGTGTAGACGCCAGGGAGCGATGTGACTGCGCAGTGAGGCGGGATAAGGGAGGTAAGTGTGATCGCGATTATCCAGATCAAATATAATCCGGTAGTGAAGGGCAGGGTATAAATCCCATCTCATCTTCTTGTGCAAGTAGGGGGGTGTTTTTTCATGTTACAGCCCTGGCTCGTGTGTACTAATTTGAGGAACAGTAACAGACTGTCATGCGGAGTGCAAAGGGCACAAAGTCATACAGGGAGAGGTCATTCTTCAGGTCTGAGGGTACCCAAAAGGGCTTCCAAGAAAAGTGCAAGCACCCTGGATCGAGTCCTGAAGCATAAAAGCAAATGGAGCAGTATGAAAACGGGAATTTTTCACAGCAACTCACACAGATGATGGGTAGTCATATTTTGCACTAATGAAAGCTACTGAATGGTCAGTTCTTGCTCTGAGAAAGCCGCCATCTTGGAATGGGTGATTCCCACCCATTGCTAAGGGAGGCAGAATTCTTCAACTTCCAGTCTCCCAGGTGGGCGCCACCCTGGCCCAGTTTGCTTCCTGCCTAGTTGGGGAGTGCAGCTTTAGAGCAGAGCTCTTTGCTCTTTTTTACTTGCTTTTCTCTTGCCTTTCTTCAAGAGCCATTTCATATCTGAGGGCGTTTCCTAACCTCTCCAGCCTGTCCCTCTTTCTCTTCACATCTCCTTCCACACCTCTCGGCTCTGTTGCTTCTTTTGTCTTTGCAATTTTTTCTCTCTGCACCCCCTTCCTTCCTTGGAGGAACGTGGGAGAGAATGGCCCAGCAGCAAGCCGCATCAGATGCTCTGGAGGACTGTGAAATAGACAACTGACCTCTGAAAAGGACAAGAGATCCTCTCCTCCTTCCTTCTGTCTCTTGTGAGTCCAGCCCAGAGCAACCTAGGAAGACTGCTGGAGTCCGAAAGTACTTCAACAGGCCATAAAAAGGCCTAAAATGGCTCCTCAGGGGCAAATGGCGCTCTCAGCTTCCAGTTCAGCCCTTGGAGGCTATGATGGCACGCCAGGCTCTCTTCTTGGGACACTGCCCCCGGCTCTCTCAGCTAGCAGTTCGGTCCCTGGAGGGCTACAATGGCATCCCAGGATCCTCTGCTGGACCCTCCGCTGAACCAGAGGAACTCCTTGACCATCGGAGCAGATCTTCGGGGGGGGGGTAGGGTGCTGTCCCTCCCCTTTTAAGGTTGTGGGCAGGTAGAATCCTTGCTTGGCTGAGATTATGGGACCTTTTAAATAGAGCCACAAGAGAGGAGCCACAAGGCATGCAAGAGAGCCCCGCCCCATTCCAGGGACCCAAATACTCCAACCAAGGTCATCTTCGTTTGCCCACAAGCAAGGGTTTAGGCGTATAGGGAGGCACACTTCATCTTATTGGGACCCTTGCCCTCACTCTAATCTGGGAGAACCGGGTTTGATTCCCCCCTTCTCCACATGCAGCTGCTGGATGACCTTGGGCAAGCCATAGTTCTATCAGAGCTGTTCTCTCAGAGCTCTCTCAGCCCCACCTACCTCACAGGGTGTCTGTTGTGGGGAAGGGAAAGGAGTTTATAAGTCCTCCTCCTACTACTACTACTTGTTTCAAACTTCACCAGTGAATTTCTACCTGTTTTTGAAAAATTGTTCTACCTGTTTTTGGAAAATTTGTTCCACTTTATATGTCTAAATTTATTGATCATTGATGTTAAATTTGGGCACATGCATTTTTTTTTCTTGTTTTAATTTCTAGAGCAGCCATTGTGTAGGACCTGGGGCTGGTCCAACTCACTCCCAGTGACAACCAAAGGGCAACAGAGGGCGCCAACTGCATTCTAAAGGCGGTCAGCTTCCTAGCAGATGGCTCCCTCCACACACATTGACCTTTGCATCCTGCTCCATGGTGGCTGCTCTAGCACCTGAAGCCCCTTTTAAGAGGCCCGCCACAGCAGTAGATCACCCCACCTTCACTCCTACAGGTACGACAAACCTGATTGGCTGGCCAAGCAAGGAAACCCTGACGCCATTCCTGTGGGTGGGTGACTTCAGGAATTCCATCCCAGTGGCCTCAGCCAGACAAGTCTGTGGGTGGTCTGGTTCTATAACACAGGTATACATTCTTATTGATTCCCTTAATTAAAAGAGGCGTCAACCCATGTTCAGTCCTCTAATATTAAATTTTCTTCATCTTAAGTTAGTAGCCATGGAGTCTTTCTTCTAGTCAAGCTCTTCCTTGGTTTTCCCAAAGACATTAAGTATCACTTTTG